TCAGACTATCTACTCCCTCTTCAGACTATCTACTCCCTCTTCAGACTATCTACTCCCTCTTCAGACTATCTACTCCCTCTTCAGACTATGTACTCCCTCTTCAGACTATCTACTCCCTCTTCAGACTATCTACTCCCTCTTCAGACTATGTACTCCCTCTTCAGACTATCTACTCCCTCTTCAGACTATCTACTCCCTCTTCAGACTATGTACTCCCTCTTCAGACTATCTACTCCCTCTTCAGACTATCTACTCCCTCTTCAGACTATCTACTCTTTCTTCTCTCTATTACAACACTATCGAGCAAAGCGAGATTGTGTCGCTCGATAGTGTCGTAACAAGCTACAAAATGTTGCTCCACTATCGAGCAAAGAGTAAAGAGTAAAGGGAGGAGAATAGGGGGAAAGACTAAAGGAGACTAGTGTAGATGAGAGACGAGTGTAGATGAGAGACGAGTGTAGATGAGAGACGAGTGTAGATGAGAGACGAGTGTAGAGAAGAGTTATGTAGAGAGTAACTGAATTATAAAGAGAAGATATAGATATTGTGAGAGTAAAGAGCTAACATAGTGTAAAGTGGAGAGAGTGTGTAGGGACAAACTGAATATATATGATAGAGACGAGTAAAGGAGTAGAGAGTGAGTAGAGGAGCTAAGCCAATGCTAGCGGAGCCAGAGGCGACGCTAGCGAAAGTGGCTCCGCTAGTGGATGGTATAAATTACATCTTTTCTAGTCTACAGTAATAGATTACCAAACAAACCTATCTACCTTCATCTTCTCTCTACATTCATCTTCTCTCTACATTCATCTTCTCTTATCTATAGATAAAAACGTATTCTAAAACACACAGGAGGATGAAACAAACAGAGTGCTCAGTGTAGGTGGCAGTCAGTGCTGCTAGGCAGTGCTATTCCATTATCGAGCAGAGCGAGATCATGTCAGTGCTGCTCCACTATCTCGCTCTGCTCGATAGTGTCGCTCGATAGTGTTGTAACAAGCTATAAAGTGCTGCTTCACTATCTCGCTCTTCTCGATAATGAGCAGCTAGTCACCTTCATCCTCCTCATCCTTACCTTCACCTTCACCCTCATCCTCCTCATCCTCCTCCTCATCCTCATCCTCCTCATCCTCATCCTCCTCCTCACCTTCACCCTCATCCTCCTCATCCTCCTCTATGATCTATTTTTCAATTAGTCGTGTACCTTTTCAAAGTGTTGATGAAAAAAAAAAAAAAAGTGATTGATACGAAAACCTTCTTGTTTGGTTAACCATTTAGTGAGCCATCATTAAGTGAATAGGCAAAGTTTCTTGCAACCAAACAGCTCTAGGCATAACCTGTGAGCTCTGTGTAACTGTTAAATTTAACTCTTTTTTTTTATAAAAAGAATAAGTACCGAAAACATCTCGACAACTCTTTAGAGTAAGCGTCTTTTTATTATATCTTTTTTTGCTTTGAAGGGGCCCTTTATGTCTCAAGTTCAGCCAAGAAGGTCATTGAGAGCCAACAAGGGAACTCATTCGAAAAGAGAAAAGGAGGAGTATTATAATGAGGAAATGGTAGCACAGGAGGAGGGTGTTGAGTATAAGCGGTTATTAAAGAGTCATCTGCTAAAGAAGAGAGATGAGAAGGATGAAGGAAGGCAGAAGGTTGGTAACGAAGATGAGAATATTGGCGAGGATGGGGATATTGGCGAGGCAGACGAAAATGGAGAGATAAGATGTACACCATGTGGTACCATAACGGAAAACTATGATGAGGAAAGTGACCCGTATGGAGATATGATTGAGTGTGAAAAGTGTAATACTTGGCAGCATATCTCGTGTATGGGGTTGAAGATGAATGCAGTGCCTGAGCATTATCAATGTGATATTTGCTCGGGAAAACCAAGACCGCTTGTAAAGAAAAGAGGGTCAAAAGTTGTGGAATCTGGTCCACCACCAAAAAAGTCAAAGTCAAAGTCAACGTCAACGTCTTCGTCAAAGCCAAACTCAAACTCAAACTCAAACTCAAATGCGTCACGAGAAACAGGGAGTGGGGACGAATTGCACAAATCAATCGAATCATTGAAGAATTCCACACGAGTTAGCACGGCAAAGGCTTTTTATAATTTGTTCAAAAAGAGTTTTCCCGAGAAAAGTGCTGGTGAAGTTAGTGATGAAGAGAAAGAGAAAAGGGCAATTGGTTTAGCTTTGGAAATAGAGGAAATAATACAACGAGAGTTTCCTGGAAAAGCATATGTTCCTGAGGGGCGTCGAATATTGTTTGTGTTGAAAAAACAGTTTACCCCCGATATTATTTGTGGCAAGTTGACTTTGGAAGATGTAGTCAAAAAGACGCCCGAAGAGATAAATGAGGATATAAAGAGAGTAGAATTACAGAATAAGGAAAACATCAAGAATATCATTTTGGTTGAAAACGACCATTCCCAGATTGTTAGGAGAACGCACAAGGGTGATATTATCAAGGAAAATGAAAATGAAGAAAATCAACAAATGGATGAAAGCATTGAAGCTAGAGCTGTTGATCATCGTCGATTTTCTGAAGTGATTGACACAAAAACCAAAATCATTACAAACACAAGTAGACAAAATGCCTACCAAAACACAAACCCCAGGTTCAGAGATGATTTTTCAAGTGATGACGAGCATAGTGATATTGAACATCTTCTGAGCGACGTTGAGCAAGAAAAAAATGAACTTGCTGAAGATACTAATAATGATGATAATAATAATAATAATACCAATAGCAATAGTAACAATCAAGATGACAATAAAAATGACCAAGATGATGTGGTTAGCAATATTTTGAAAGCAACGGATTCACAATCTGTATCTGAACCACTGCCAACAACAAGAAAGTCCACCGAGTCGTTGAGTGATGTTGATCATGGAATGGGGAGTCCAGAAGAGAGCAAGCTTGATGCCATCTTAGTTGGAGATGATGAGTTTGCACAAAAGACAAAGCCTTTTGAGTTACCGGAGATTTGGCGTGGATCGGTGACGTTTCCTGAATTTGCTCATTTTAAAGCCATTGGAAGATTTTACTCTTCAAGTGACGAACACGACAACTATAACCTTGCAAAGGCCACGGCAAAAGAGATAATGAAAGAGCACAAGTATATTATTCGAGGTCGGTTGGAGAGATCGAGATGCGATCAATATTTGAATGAAATCATTGCTACAAGAAATCTATATTTTGTACAAATTCTGCCCCACAAGAATGACGAAGTAAGTGGTAGTCTGGATAATCAGAAGCTTTTTAGTAATTATGATAGACTATGTAATTACTTTATAAAAGAAAACAAAGTTGGTGTTTTGAGTGGTAAACCAGAATTTGTTAAAGATTCATACATCATGCCAATTGATTTCAGAGATGTTAATTTAAACAAGACTATAATGGCTCACAAGAGGGAGTCGAGAATTGGATTATTTGCTGTGTTTGTAGTGCAGAAACGATATGAACCTAGTCATCATCACACTTTTACCCACACTAATAATAACAATGAAAGGCTGCTGAATCATTATGTGAATGGTACTGAGCAAGAGAATTTGAATTTCATTTTGGATCAATTAAGGTAGTTTCAACTGGGACATTCCCCCTCCCAGCTTCCTCCACCAGCTTCCTCCACCAGCTTCCCTCCACCAGCTTCCCTCCACCAGCTTCCTTCCACCAGCGTCCCCACCAGCGTTCTCCCACCAGCTTCCTCCCCCACTGCATCGTTGGTTTGCTGGTATTAAACTACGATATGCCTTTTTTAATTTTTTATGTAGTATTCTGTAGATTTATTTAAAACTATCACCTAATGTCTTTAAACATACCTTCTCTCACCTACCTTCTCTTACGTACCTTCTCTCACCTACCTTCTCTTACCTACCTTGTCTTTAATTTGGAAACTAGTCCCTTGAATCTTGATAGAGCCCCGATTCTTAAGTAAACTGGTCAAACACGTGACCAAGTTTTAATGTATGAAAAAAAAATTGAACTTTTCAATTTCGATTCCGTTTGTTAGCACCACCATCACCACCAGTAGGACGCCCCAGTTTTGATCTATAGTAGAGCTTTACAGTGGTTTCTATAATGTATAAGTAGATGGTTGGTGATACGCAAGTGGATGAACCAAGTCAGAGCTCGCCACTTTCTCAGAAGGACGAAAATATTCATGGCACCAGTATTAGTCTTTTATTCAACTCACAAGATATTACCAAGGATGTAGTTGGGATTGGAAATAGATGGAAGCTTCATAACGCTAATAATAACGAGAATAATGATGATTCTGCAATTGTGATAGATGATATTGATGAGGAAAGTAGAAACGAAGGTTTAGAGGAGTTTCATTTGCTGGATGGAGAAGAAGGTAAAGACTATGTTATTGGGTTCCCCAAGATCGAGGACTGCTCGACACAAGTGATTGATAAACAAAGATCATTTGAAGATACAGGTAGTATTGGAGATGTTACACGATTAAAGAGTGCTATGCTGCTACCAGAGACTCAGATAATTAGGGCTCAATCCTCAATGTCACTGAATAAGGACGTTTCCACTTTGCTCAAGTTTGACGAGAGTTCTGGCAAGCAAAGAACTAGTGGGGAGGATTTTGCAGATATTGAGTTGACACCTACTACACGACAGCAGAAAGAGTTACCAGATACGCAGATCATCAATAGGAAAGACCAGCAGCGAACCATATCATCTCCAACAGAGGTTGATGAAACTGCGCAAGCCGATTTCGAAAATCAGACTACCACCATCACCAATACTACCAGTGACAATTTTTTAGAAAAAACTCAGGTAGTATCAGGAAATGAGATTGAAGAATCGAAGGAGACTCAGGTGATATCCAAGACCTCTGAAGCTTCAAAATCTTTAGGGAAACCACTGGTTTCACCAGAGAGGAAATCTGGGGTCGAGGAAATGTTTGACCAGACTCAAACAGATTCTGTTTCCATACCGATTATCCCTATAGATACTCAGGTCTTTTCCACAACATCATACTCAGTCGATCCTGTCAATTCTGAGGATACTCAAGTACTCCAATCACATAGGCAGGTTATTAATACACAAGATGCACCTGGGACTTTGGTTCCACATCAAAAACCGAAAAAAATTCTTGAAGTGCAAACAGATGACGAACATAGTACAATTGATGAGACTAACGAAGACGAAAAGGTAGAGGATGGAGAGGATGGAGAGGAGGAGGAGAAGAACAAAAAGAAAAAGGTAGAAGAAGAAGAAGAAGAAGAAGAAGAAGAAGAAGAAGAAGAAGAAGAAGAAGAAAAAGAAGAAGAAAAAGAGCAGGGAGAGGAAGAGCAGGAAGAGGAAGAGGAGGAGGTTCCTGTTGATAAAGATGTCACCAATAATTATGAAGACAGCATAGTAACACATAGAAAACGGCGACTTTCACGTAGTCCTATGAAACTAAAACGAAGCCGAACGGCAAACATTATTAGACATGTTGAGCTTGACGATGAAGATCCATTTGATAACACAGGCTCGACACCGGCAACCAATCTACGAAATCATTCCGTGCCTTTGATTTTTGCATCACCTTTTACTAACATTGTTATGTCCTCTTCGCCCCCTAGTAAACAAGTTTACAACCAACTGGTGTTGACTGATGATGGCGACGAAGCCCATATGAAAAGCGACAATACTCAAACTACAGTTGATACAGATGCAGATACAGATTTAAGCGATTCATCAGAAACTTCTTCGGACAAGACGCGATTAAAATCACCACCAAGCTCACCTGGGGCTTTAGACACTTTGACCACAGATGAAAAGACTTCTTCTGAAGAGTGGGATATTGGAATGGACAATGAGACCATCATTGATAAGTCTGCTCTGGAAAAACCTATTTTGACAAAGAAAAGAGTCAACAATGTTGTTGACTCCGAGTCGGGCACGGATGACATGACAATTAAACATAATGATGAGGAATCTTTCATTTTAAGAAGAGAGAAGTCCGATATACTTTCAGAAGCAGACGTCTTACAGCGCGAGGGGGTTTGGGCAATCTATAACTTGAAAATGTATGCCGGCCACATCATTTCAAGATCTGAAGATACTCTGGTTGTTGAGTTTTATGAGGGTTTGTATACCATAAAGAATGAAGATCTCAGTTTGCTTGATCTTAGAATTGGAGATATTGTGAATGTTAGGAAAAAACGATTCAAATGTATAGTAACGGGTTTATCATCCGGGGAGTCTGCCAGTCCTATCCATTGCATGCGCGGGTACAATGTTGTTCATTTAAAGCGACGTTCTGCAAAAGGCAGTAGAGAAAATAAAGAGTTTACTGTATCATTATCTGAATGCCATATGGAATTGAGCGACTGGGTGATACATCAGCAAAAGTTCAAGTTGGCTTTAGATGACAATTTGGTTAGCGTTTTCGCCGCATCGAGCTCTATGAGTCATCGGAATACTGAAGTTTCATTATCAACAACACCAACAAGATCTTCCAAGATGCTTTCAAGCGATGGAGTATTTTCGAAATTGAGTCCATTCCCAAAGAAGAAGCTTTTTGATCAGCAGGTATTTGAAGGGAGGTTATTTTGTATTACAAATATTGATGGTGTTGGAAAGGACGTTATCAAACAGAAAATCGAGAGCAACGGGGGCATCTTCATGGACTGCGATTTGATTGATATCTTTAAATACCCGGAGACAAATAGTGGTGGACTATGCCTATTGTATGATTATGAGACATTGCCAAAGGATATTCGATTTGGTTGCATGATTGCTAGTAACTATTGTCGGAGCTCGAAATATTTACAAGCATTGGCTTTGGGATGGCCTATTCTCTCTGATGCATATATTGATGATGTTCTTAAAGACTCGTTTAGGCTTGAGCAATGGCATGCATATTTATTGCCTGCTGGACAGTCGATTCATTTAAAAGCTTTGAAAAGTTTGGACATTTATCAGTTTAGGAGAAACTATGATCAAGATTTTCCTTTGAGCTCTCAGTTGGCAATAAATAGTAAAATGTTGATAAACTACGATGTCATAATATTAAGCAATGCTCATGAAAGTAAAAAAAACTTGATTGAGTTGGAGACGTGCAAGTTTATTTTCCACGCATTTGGTGCCAAGTCTTGGAACTGTTGCACATCTGCAATAAATGTCAAGAATGTGTTACAGAACTCCAATGGAGACGATTTTTTGGTTTATGATGATGGCAATGGTCAGGAATTATTGGAAAGTATTAACACAGACAGAAAGATAAGAAAAAGATTGTCACCATCATCATCATCATCATCATCATCATCATCATCATCATCATCTTCATCTTCATCATCAACAACATCATTAACAACAATCAAAAGGACATTTGAGGTGAAGTTAATCAATTGGGAGTGGGTGGTTCAGTGCGTCATTAGCGGATGTATCTGGAACCCCACAGCAACCATTTCTGTAGTCATTTAAAGCAAAAAAAGAGAGATTTCTTTGTCTTATTCTTGGTTTTGTTGATATTTTGTTTATTTCGTTATTCGTTTTACTAATACATATTATATATAAATAAATATATACAAATAAATAAATCAAAGGTTAAGCTGAGCTTTTGAAAAGTCTGCCCATCAATGTATTGAATGTGGCTTTGAACGTTGTCCAGCCATTACCGCTCTTTACGGCATCTCCGTTTTCTTCTAATCTTCTTAAAAGGTATTCTTTAGTTTCCAACGGTGGTCCCCAAGGAACATATTTAATAACATTATTAATCTTGTTGTTTTGAATTAAATCATAAGTAACTTCATCAGCCATACCCAATAATTGGCCCAAAACCACATTATTTTTATTTTTATTGTTCACGTTTGCATCACTGTACACTTTGGAGCTTGCTAATCTCAACGACTCTGCATTATGACTTGCCACTACCAAATGGCCAATTGTCGAGGAGTTAGCCTTTGATGATGGTTCCAATATAGAATCGATACAATAAGAAATTCCAGCATTGTAGTTGTCATCAGTGTCTTGTTTAGTCTTGTGGATGACTGTAGACCTTGCCTTTTCTGAGTGGATGTAAGCACCACGAACAAGTTTCAATCCTAACCTATAATTATTCTGGTTAGCCAATTTCTCTTCATAAGCCAACAAGTTTGCACTATCGGAGAGGTACATTTGCAAAGTACCAACAACATTAACCGGTTTGTGCATTTGGTTGAATTTTTGGTATAATTGACGTTGTAACTCGTAAACTGCTGGTTGCAAGTCGTACTTTTCAGCGTCAATAACTGCTACAACAAAAGGTGCCACTCTTTGAGGATACTTTTTTGCCAATTCAATGTTGGCGTCATAAACAGCTTGACAGGCTCTAGATGCCTTGGCAACCAATTCATCAAATGCCTTTTCTTCTCCGTTCCTGTAATTTTTCAAAACATGTGGAGCGTTTTTGACAAATCCAGTAGGTTTCAAAGCAACATAGCCCGATGGGATATCATTGATATCCTTACCTGCTGTTTCAATCATTTCAACGGTGTGGGGTACTAATATGCCGTTGATGGATTCTATGGTTTCGTCAATGATATATTCAGGATCAATATTGTCGTTTCCTTCACAAGCTTCAATAGTCAACGATATCATCACGTTGTTGATTCCTCTAGAATGCAATCTCCTTGCCGTTTTTCTCACGTCTTGGATATTGTCGCCACCACAGTAGATACGATACACCAATGCCTTGATTACCAGGATCGGCACATAAGGGAAAACCTTTATACACGTCCGAAGTACCGGATTCATCGACGTGCACAATCCCATTAACAAAAAGGAAAAAAGCTCTTTATTATCGAAAGCTTTAAGATATTGTGTAGAATGGGGGTGGGCATCTGCCTCCACCAAGTTGCCTCGGGCCGTGTTTAACAGTTGGTCAGCAGCAGCCTCGGACTGTACCCCTGGAGATATGATATGGTGGTGGTGGTGGTGGTCATTATGGTGATCCGATGAATTAATAGTTGTACTCTTTTGCGATGAGGTATCATGAAATAATCTATATCTAGGTCTAGCTTTTAAATAAGAACAAGAGGCAAAGATCGAGCGGCTTTGGGGCGAAACTCTCCCAAGATATCTCAATGACATTACAAAGCAACAATAATTAAAAAAAAGAAAAACCGGGGCAAAAACCTGTATTTGGAGAACATCTTAAAGGGATATAGATGACCCATTTATATACTCCATGAAAGCTTACCGAGATGACACCAGTTGGTAGCATTTTGAAAGTTGCAAAATAAAACCTATTGACATTTTTGACATCACAAAGACAGAATTATTAAAGAGATAAGGCAAATAAAGTAAGGCAGTTCCCGTTTGGAGAGGTAAAGCGAGAACTGAAATATTATCAAGGGAAAAGAATAGCGAGAGAGAAAGAGAAGAGAAAAAAAATAATAAATAAATTGAAGCTTCCCTTCTATAACCGATGCGTGCAGCACGTGACTTGAAGGATTTCCATTGCATATCTTTTTTCTTGTTGCAGTTTAAAAGTGGGGTCTCAGAACCATTCAATTTTTATGTTTGGTAGTGGTTTGAGTTTGTGGCATCCTTTTTGGGGTTTAATGGTTTTTATGGATTAAGGAGGATTCGCCGAGCGATTATACTAATATTATCAATGCATCTAATAGCGAGCCACACTATCGAGCGGAACGAGATAGTGGAGCACACTCGCTGCCACCGACACTATCTACCGACACTATCTACCGACACTATCGAGCAAAGCGAGATAGTGGAGCAACCCTTTGTAGGTTGTTACAGCACTATCGAGCGACACTATCGAGCGGAGCGAGATAGTGTTCATAGTGGAGCAATACTCAGTACCTTGGTGCCGCACTATCTCGCTCTACTGGACAGTGGAGCAATACTCAGTACCTTGGTGCCGCACTATCTCGCTCTACTGGACAGTGGAGCAAAACTTTGTAGCTTGTTACAATACTAGCGAGCAACACTATCGAGCAGCGCGAGATAGTGTTCATAGTGGAGCTACACTTTAAAGCTTGGTACGACACTATCTCGCTCTGCTCGATAGTGTTCATAGTGGAGCAACACTTTAAAGCTTGGTACGACACTATCTCGCTCTGCTCGATAGTGTTCATAGTGGAGCAACCCTTTGTAGCTTATTACAACACTATTGAGTGACACTATCTAGCTCTGCTCGATAGTGTGCATAGTGGAGCAATACTCAGTAGCTTGGTACAACACTATCCCTCTTGAAATAAACATTTGGTAAAACCATACCCTCTTAGAGAGACCATACCCTCTTAGAGAGACCATACCCTCTTAGAGCAAACATTTGGTAAAGCCTTACACGGATTTGTTGCTCCACTCTCTCGCTCCGCTCGATAGTGTCGGTAGATAGTATCGCTCGATAGTATTGTAACAAGCTACAAAGTGTTGCTCCACCATCTCGCTTCGCTGATAGTGTCGCTCGATAGTATTGATCTATCTACTATCGACTAGACTCGTTTCACTCGTCTAGTCTCTCTCCACTATCTCGCTCCGCTCGATAGTGTCGTGCTCGATAGTGTCGCTCGATAGTATTGATCTATCTACTATCGACTAGACTCGTTTCACTCGTCTAGTCTCTCTCCACTATCTCGCTCCGCTCGATAGTGTCGTGCTCGATAGTGTCGCTCGATAGTATTGATCTATCTACTATCGACTAGACTCGTTTCACTCGTCTAGTCTCTCTCCACTATCTCGCTCCGCTCGATAGTGTCGTGCTCGATAGTGTCGTGCTCGATAGTGTTGATGGTGGTAGCGCTTCAATCATTAAGCGATGAGGTGAAAAATTAGTATATACCTAAACCCCAAAGAAAAGATTGATTAATCTTTACAAGTAGATGCTTCAACAGAGTTGTCTACGAGGGAGAAGGAGATATATACTAAATCCCTTACTGTATCAACTTTGCCTTTTTAGCTTTTCTCGCAAACTTAAAATTGATGAGATATTAGCACCAATACCAACACCAACAAATGTCAAATCGAAAAGACTCTTTTTGAGCCCATCCGACATTGAAAAACGTAAAAAACTGTATCAAAAGAAACGTACGACAACTCGAAATGATAGCAAATCTCCTCTCAAGCGACAATCACAAGGACATGGACTAAAAACACAGGAACGGCCCAGAGTTGACCCACTATTATTTACAAAATTGTTTCCTACTTATGAACTGAAACTTTCAACAAGAACCAACAACAAAAAAGAAGCAGAAGTGAAAACTAAACAAGAAGAAGAAGAAGAAGAAGAAGAAATTTTTAGCTACCTTGAAAGCTTCAAACCGTTTGAGTCCGTCATTGGAGTTGCAAGATTTGAGAATATAGCGAAAAGTCTTGATAAGGCATTCAAGAAAAGACAGCTTGCTGAGTATATCAACTATTTGAAAAAGAAGTTTCCCGAGAAAAAGAAGTTGACAAAAAATCTTACAAAACCTCAGCTTATACAATCTATCATATCTGAGGGATGGAATATAACGAAATCCTCAAAACTAGGCGGAGGGCAAGTAATGAGCACTAAGGTGTTTGGCTTGACCCCAGTGATTCAGTTTTTGCTAAAACAGAAACGATCTCAATTTCTTCAAAATCTCGTGTCATCTAAATTGCAAACAAAATTGATAGGTTCAAACTTGATTGTTTCTGGGTTGACTTCCAAACTTACATTTTTAGAGGCGGAATTCGCTCATCTTGCTGATAATATACAAACTAAGATCTTGGATCTTTCTCAATTAAAGCCTTTTTACAATTTGGAGAATATCGATTTGGAGAGTATTTGCGAAACATCTCTGGTGTTTATTGAAAAGACTGATGATGACAAACTTGTCCTACTGGCTAGTTTTCAAGATGATATTAATTTGGCAAAAAGATTAATAAGTTGGAGTATTAGCGAGCAAAATCGGCATATAAAGACCAACATTTACAACAAAAATGTGTTTCTTAAGGCAAGTTATGTCCCTTTTTTAAACAACGAAGTATGGACATGGTCTGAGAAAGATTTTCAATACTATAGCATATTTAAAAATGACGAAAGACCCGGGCGCTACAATGATATTATATTTGAGAAATTTGACAAAATGAATGATATCTTTTTAGAATCAAAGAGTTTAGAGGAATTATCGAATTCTCGACTTTCTTTTAAACTAGAATCTTCAAGATCTCTTGATGAAGGTCTCAAGTTTCTCAATAGAGATATATCTAATGCAAATGCACATGCTATACTTGAGAACGAGGGTCCCAAAGAGGATTCTAAAATAAAGGATGTTATTGCAGCATTTGATTGGAAGAAATTATTAAGCAACCAAAGCGCTTCACCATTACTAAAGAGCGAAAAGGAAAAGCATGAAAGTCTTGAAGAGTTGCGTCATCATTTAGGCTCATTCACTGAGAGCAATTTTGACATTGATGAGTTTCCTGATGTGTCCAAATTAGTGGAAGATGTGGAGAAAAAGAGTAATGATCAAGTTGTTGATGATTTGAGAAAGGAGTTGGGAGCCTTTAGTAGTGATTCTTCTTCTGAAGTTTCAATGTTTGACGAATTGTTGGAAGGAGTTGACACCGTGACTTCCAATGAAGCTAACACGAACGATTATGGTTGTTTGAGAGAAGGAACACAGGAGAATAATAATACTGATATCGATGACAATATCAGAATAGAGGGGAATAATAACAATAATGATATTGATGACAATATCAGAATGGAGGAGAATAATAACAATAATGATATTAATGACAAATTGATTTTTCCAGAAATACTGTCCCTCAAAGAAAGTGAAATTGATGAATTTTATGACCAGTTGAACTTGGATGGGAAAAGCGAGGATCCTTTGTTATTTCAAACTTATACTCTTCAATTTGGTTCGATATTACTTCAAGAACGCAAAAGCAACACCAAGATCTTTCAAATTCCTTCTTCTCCGACGGTAACTAAGGAAAGCCAATTCAAATTCTTAACCAATGTACCGTTCATCAAGGATATTGCATCTTCATTGCCCATTTTATTTGATAAAAATCAAGCTTTCACAAACAAGTTCCAAATCCGGTTAATACCATCCATCTACCAAGATTCAAACAACTTAAATTCAAAGCAAATTGCCAACTATCCACCTATTGAAATCCAGGCTAATTTAAACAGTTGGGGTAAGATTGATTTGGACACTCTTGAGATTTTATCTATTGAAACCATGAACAATATATGCATACCTTTGCACCATCTTCCATGTGATATACAGATATCAAAAACAAGCATTAGCAATAAGCTACCGTTACCCCTGAAGCTGGAGCACGAGCAACCTGACTCTGTAGATTTGTCAACTAGATTCAGTAGTCAACCTGATTTGGCAAATTTCCTTGAAAAATCAAGTCTACACTTTACTGGTAAAGATAAAGTACATATCGAGCCCTCGATTGAGTTGATCGTTGACAATAAGCTAGTGAAGTACGACTTTGTTCACCTCACATATAGAACTGATCTTTCATTTGATTTTAGAGGCAGAGAAGTATGTTTGAGTTTGTTAGAGGGCGGTGAATTTGGAGGAAGAAGATTCGAAGTAATCATGGGCGAAGGAAAACTAACCAAGGAGGAATTTGGTAAATTTGTCAAGGATGGAATTCGATTTATCTCACTAATTAAATGAAAAATGGAGTTCGATTCATCACACTAATTAAATGAAAAATGCATTTTTTTTTAACTCAAGTATATAGATTTTGTAAATACAGTAAACATATTACGGTGAAGCTGAAAAAGAGAGGAAGCTTGCTTTCTAGTGTGGAATCAAGTTTGGTTGCTAATAGAAAAAACCTCTACCCCCTCCCCCTTCACCCATTAGGGATTGAAAAATATGAAGGCTTGACATACCAACCTATATTATCTTGGTGCACTTTGTAGACACTATCGAGCAGAGCGAGATAGTGATGATAGTGTTGGTGGAAGCTCCACTATCGAGCAGAGCGAGATAGTGATGATAGTGTTGGTGGAAGCTCCACTATCGAGCAGAGCGAGATAGTGATGATAGTGTTGGTGGAAGCTCCACTATCGAGCAGAGCGAGATAGTGATGCTAGTGTTGGAGGAAGCTCCACTATCGAGCAGAGCGAGATAGTGATGCTAGTGTTGGTGGAAGCTAGTGTTGGTGGCAGCTAGTGTTGGTGGAAGCTAGTGTTGGTGGCAGCTAGTGTTGGTGGCAGCTAGTGTTGGTGGAAGCTAGTATTGGTGGAAGCTAGTATTGGTGGCAGCTAGTGTTGGTGGCAGCTAGTATTGGTGGAAGCTAGTGTTGACCTATCTACTATCGACTAGACTCGTTTCACTCGTCTAGTCTCTCTCCAACTTCAGAATATGTTCCTCTAACTTAGCAATTGATGTTTGAAGAGCCACTACATCCGATTGCACCACCTCGTTTGCAAAGTTGTACTGATCAAGCAAATAATAATATGAAGCACCACCAGTAAGTGTAATTCCAAGTAACAAGCCAATGACCCCGCCTCTAAAGCCACTTATTTTTCTTGGTTTACCAGTGACTGAAGCACCGGTCGAATATGAACGGAATGCAATTGAAGCTGGTTTCAAGACTCTAGCAGATAACATTGTTTCAAAGAAAACTAACAGGAAAACAATATACTTACTTGTAATGTTTGGTTAAAAAAAGAGTATTTAATTTTTTTTCAATCTATAACTTGTAATGGCCAATTAGAGTTGTGTGTTTCTTTAACAAGTCTGGTGATGATTTGTCAAATAAATTAACCAAAAAGGAAGTGCGAGAATGGAAAAGAGATGTGTAGAGACAAACACTCGAAAACACTCTCGAGCAGAGCGAGAGAGTGTTGTAGTAAGTAACCCCGTGCGTATCGAAAAACACTCGAAAACACTCTCGAGCAGAGCGAGAGAGTTGTTGCAGTAAGCTACCAAGGGTTGCTCCACTATCGACAAACACTCTCGAGCAGAGCGAGAGAGTGTTGTAGCAAGATATAAAGGGTTACTTCACTATCGACAAACACTTTCAAGCAGAGGGAGAGAGTGTTGTAACAAGCTATATAGTGTTGTAGCAAGCTATAAAAGGTTGCTCTACTATCGAACAATACTCTCTCCCTCTGCTTGAGAGTGTTGTAGCAAGCAACAAAGGGTTACTTCACCATCGAACAACCCTGTGTGTATCGAAAAACACTCTCTCGCTCTGCTCGAGAGTGTTGTAACAAGCTACAAAGGGTTGCTCCACTATCTCGCTCTGCTCGACAGTGTAGCTTGATAGTGTTACAAAGTATTGGTGGCAGATAATCTTGTTCTCTGTTTGATAATTTTCTTTAGCTATAGTATAGTGTAGAACTGGTTTATCAAGAGAACCTTTATCAAGAGAATCTTTTGAAAAGAAAACCTTTAGAAAGAAAACCTTCTAGAGAGAACCTTCTAGAGAGCCTTTTAAGAGCCTTTCAGAGAGCCTTTTAGATAACCTTTTAGATAACCTTTTAGATAACCTTTATATTTGAATGTTTGGAAGGTCATGGCATACTCTAGTGCCTAGTATTAAGCTCGATAACCGTGCCATTCGACGAGTAGCAACTATAAATCATAACCTGTTTTCTCGGTCAAAGCCGCCGACACGGTTTGGGTTTGGGTTTGGGTACATCTATCCAACGTTTGTCTTTGTAGCGGGCGCTGGAACTATTTATATCATTGACAAGGAATACAAGTCCAATCTAGTGACAAGATCTGCTCGAGCATTGTATGTACTACTATGGATAGCATATGCCTACGGATACGATTCTCAAAGTTACGAGAACATTGACGACTTGCATGAAATTGCAAGCGAGAGACTATTACAGACTTTGGTTCGAAATAAAGGTCTTTATATTAAACTAGGCCAGGCAATTGCCAACCAGGGCAGTTTATTCCCTCAAGCTTATCAAAAGCGATTCCCTCAGTTGTACGATGAGGCGCCTTCGCAACCTTGGGACAAAGTCGATCAAGTTTTGAAGCAGAATCTCGGTTTGGATTATGAAGCAAAGTACTTTGATTGGATCGACCGTGTTCCAAAGGCTAGTGCATCAATAGCGCAGGTTCACAGGGCGAAACTAAAAAAGGATTTGGGTTCTGCAGAAGTAGCACTAAAGGTTCAGCATTATTATATTGATAACCAAATTGCTGTGGATTTGTGGGTTTATAGATTCATTTCAAGTGTTTACGAAAGAGTATTTGATGTTCCCTTGAAAATGTTCACCAGTTACGTTTCTGAGCAAATGATAAAAGAGACTGATTTTGTTAATGAAATGAACAACTCAATGTATACGCAACATCTAATCGACCGTGATCCGTTGTTGCAAAATGAGAATATAAAAATCCCCAAAAATTACCCCCAGTTGACCACGAGGCAGGTACTTCCGGCAGAATGGATCGATGGAATAGCTTTGACCGACAAAGAGGTATTGATAAATCTGGGGTACGATGTAAAGTTGATAATGACACAATATATCAAGTTACTCGGTCGACAAATTTTTAGTTATGGCTTTGTCCATTCAGATCCACATCCTGGAAATTTATTAGCAAGGTTCGATGAAAAAGGGGAACAACAATTGGTTTTGCTTGATCATGGTCTTTACATATCCTTGCCCAGCAAATTCAGGTTGCAATACTGTCAGCTTTGGAAACACTTGTTTACATTCAACAAAGAGAAAATAGAAGAGATTGGTCGCGACTGGGGTATCCAATCTGCAGAGATTTTTGCTACACTTGTCCTGCTAAAACCGGTTAAATTTGACTCACCAAAAAAGAATCAAGGGGGAAAGCAAGGGGATACGGGTCATGAAGATACAAGGGATGTTTCGGACTTGTTGAGATCTTTCATTAAAGACGAGCTGATGTTTCCCAAAGAGTTACCCTTTTTAACCAGAACTATGAGAATGATTCAAAATTTGAACCAACAATTTGGATCACCAGTGAATCGTGTTAATTTGTTGACAAAGGAAGCTATAAATGTTTTGTTAACAAATGGGAAATTAACCTGGATTGATTACTGGGACTTGCTCAAGGTTAATGTAAGTTTGTTTTTATCGGGTTTCATTTTCAGGTTAATAAGAGTACGCCAATGGATAACTGGAGATAGATATGGCGGTAAACAAAAAGGGTTGGAGGATTACATTGAGATGTATATGCAGAATACTGCAAAGTCATTGGGTATGGAGTGGATGTAGAAGTTTGGAAACTGTCTATCGAGCAAAGCAAGATAGTCTATAGAGAGTATAGATGGAATATCATAAAGAGCATCGCGTAGACTCGTAAAGCCAATTTTAACGATGCTCATCTCATCTCATCTCATCTCATCTCATCTCATCTCGTTCTGGAAAAAAAAAAAAGATTTATATATATACATATATATGTATAAAGAACAAGCATTACGTTGTAGAAGATTACCTCTCTGCCCCCCCACACACACCTACAATGGACTTGAAAACAACATACACTCATCGGGACGTTGAACCCATATATGTGGGTTCGACCAGCGCGACTATAAACACCTCCAACGGCCAATATATGGCCACACCTTTAAACGAAGATGTTATAATTACCGATCTCGAAACGAATCAGGTATACCATAAAGTAGCAGGAGATGACGATGAGGTGATTACAAGTCTATGTTTTACATCTGACGGGAGGTATCTTGCAATATGCTCTCAATCGCAGCAACTACAAATCCTTCATATGGAAACGAAAAGCATTCAAAAAACTTTCAAATTATCTTCGCCTGTTTATATATCCACTTCGGACTCTACTTCAAGTTTATTTGCATTTGGTGGCTCTGATGGAGTAATCACTGTATGGGATATCGAAGGTGGATTTATCACGCATTCCTTAAAAGGACACGGTACTACAATTTGCTCAATAAAGACATATGGTGAACCCCATGATTCAATATGGAGATTAGCTTCGGGCGATACGATGGGTACGGTAAAGATATGGGATTTGGAAAAGAAAAAGTGTTTGCATACTTTGAACGATCACAACACTGCCGTCAGAGGTGTTGCCTTTGATGATGAGTATGAGTATTTCTTATCTGGAGGAAGAGACCATGTTGTAATCATTTATTCAACTAAAAACTTTAAACCGCTTTTTACCTATCCTATCGATGAGCAAATTGAAGCAAGTGGGTTTGTTAGATATGTCAATAACAAGCAATACTTTTTCACTGCTGGGTCAAAAAACATCTTGAGAATTTGGGAAATAAAAACGGGTGACTTGATTGCGAAATCATTCACGCCTTTGGAAACTAACGAAGAATTGATGATTATTGATGTCGTAAAACTAGACAACAATAATGAGAGTATGTACTTGGTTATAAGTGATCAAACTTTGATTGAGTTGGATTTAAATATTGAGGATCAAAGAATTCAACAGAATGACGTATTTGAGTTGCCTGTGAAGAGAAAGATTGCTGGTAACCAAGGTATTATTGCCGATATCAAGTATGCCGGACCTAACCACAACTTGTTGGTTATGGCTACTAATTCTCCAGCTTTGAGAATCATGAGTTTTGATAAACCATTTGAATTGAGATCATATGAGGGCCATACAGATTTGCTTAATGCAGTAGATGTAAGTCATGACGGGAGGTGGATTGCTACTGCGTCCAAGGATAAAGAAGCAAGACTTTGGGCTTGGGATGAAGAGAAACAAGATTTTGAAAATTTTGCAGTGTTTCAAGGACATGCAGGTCCAGTCACTGCTATCAGCTTGAACAAAACGACACCATCATCATCTTCTTCTTCAGCAGCAGCAGCAGCAGCTCCTGTTTTCCTCATAACTGGTTCGAGTGATCTCACTATAAAGAAATGGAAGATACCCAAAGAAAAAGGACAAGTAATTAAACACTCTGTGTTCACCAGGAGGGCTCATGATAAGGATATCAACGCTATAGATGTGTCACCTAATGACGAGTTTTTTGCAACTGCTTCATATGATAAATTAGGAAAAGTATGGAGTACAGAATCCGGTGAGACTGTTGGAGTTTTGAAGGGCCATAAGCGAGGACTTTGGGATATTAACTTTTATAAATATGACAAGTTAATAGTCACTGGGAGTGGTGACAAGACGGTGAAAGTTTGGTCATTGAGTGATTACACATGTAAAAAGACATTCGAAGGTCACACCAACGCCGTGCAACGAGTCAAATTTTTCAATAGTGTAAGCCCCCAGTTGATATCCACTGGTGCTGATGGATTAGTGAAAGTTTGGGACTACAAGTCTGGCGAAACGGTCAAGACTTTGGATAATCATGATAATAGGATATGGGCATTGGGTATCAAAGATGAGGAAGGTGATAGCTTTACAACTGCTGATGCTGATGGAAAAATAACGCAATGGCAGGATAATACTGCTGAAGAGAATCGATTGCAGGAGGTTCAAAAAAAGAACAAAATAGAACAAGAACAAAACTTGAGCAACTCCATGAAGAATCAGGATTGGAGCAATGCTTTTCTTCTTGCATTGACCTTGAATCATTCAATGAGACTTTACCATGTGATAAAATCGTCCATAGAAGCAAATGTAGATAGCGAGTCAGCAATTGGATCTTTTGAGTTAGAAACGACAATCGGCAATCTAAACAATGAGCAGTTACTTTGCTTGTTCAAAAGAATCCGAGATTGGAACATTAATTTCAAGTTTTTTGAAATTAGCCAGAGTCTACTACATGTTATTTTGCACAATTTCAGTATCGACAAATTGATTGAGATACCTGGAATTATGAAGATTGTTGAGAGTATTATACCCTACAACGAACGTCATTACAGTAGGTTAGATGAGTTGATTGAGGAGACATATGTGTTGGACTACACCCTCGAACAAATGAACCAGTTGCTGATGACATAGATGGTCTTTAAAAAAAAAAAAAAAAATTAAAAAAATTAAAAAAATTAAAAGTATAACTCTTTTCTTTGGTTCTTTCTTCTCTATTATATATGCAGTTGTAATTTATTTTTTTTTCATTTATCCTTTCTTATTGATTAAATAACATCACCATTCTTGAATGTTTTGCCTTTGACAAACTCTAGACCCTCTCCGCCGTAGCTTGTTAATGGGCTGATTTCGACGAGGTCATCTTCATTTTCCAATAAGCCGCCATTTTCTTTCACCCAGTTAGTGCCTCTAGCCAAGTAATCCAGTTTACAAGTTGTAGGAGTATCATTCTTTGCACCATCAGCGTTTTTCAATGGTGAGAATTCATCCAGTCTATCAACTTCAAGACAGCCAAATTTCTCTAATTCGACCGAAGGGAAAACATCAAAAATAAACTGTTCTAATTTTATACCATTTGGTTCCACTGGCTTGTGAGATTCATCTGTTTTCAAATTAATGCAAGGTATCTTTTTTTTAGCAATGTGGAATGGGAGATACTCTTGAGATGAGATCCATTTAGGAATCATTCTGGCCAATAAATCCACAGAGTAATAATGGTTAACAATGTTAGCAGCACGAAGAAACAACTTGTTTGAATCTTGAGGATCCTTTTTTTCAGCCAATTCTTTTGAGATTTCACTGTACTCAATCACACACGGTCTATTTGTATCCTTGTTCAACACAATTAACCCAACGCTTTCGTTGGCGTCTCTTTTCCGTACAACTTTTGTAGCCAAGTCAAAGTTTTTGTCAATTGCAAAACCCAAGAAAACAGGATCAGCAACTTTTACAAGTGAGTTGTCGACACAGTACATGTGGATATGTTTGATTCCCTTGCTTATCATGTCTTCCAATATGCCATTATTTTGTAATGATTTGTACAAACCGCCATTTCCATCTGGCGCTTCGCAAATTGCATTCTTAGAATGAAGCAAGATTTTCTCACCATTAATATCAAAGCATGGTAATTTCCCCTGATCAAAGAATTTGATTTGGGACTTGTTTAACCCGAAAAAATTGTGCTGTTTAAAAAATGCTTCTGTTGAAGTTCTTGTTGGCCCACTGGTCATGATATACCAAACAATTTCCGGCACGAAATCCAAATTAAACTTTTCTCGAGTCAAATTTGCAATCTTCAATATCTTTTCTGCCTGGATTTGGAATAGCGACTTTTGTGAGGGTAAATGAATATCAAAACAACCTTTTGGGTCATCTGAGCCTAACCTCGTACCCTGGCCACCTGCCATTAACAAAATTGCAACTTCGCCATTTGCAATGGCCTTGTATCCCAACTCGGACCAGCGGTTATAAACGTCCTTGGCAAGACCAATGGTTGAAGCCGTTTGTTCATCTGGTAACTGGGTAAAACTGCCTGAAGATGAGTTTGCTAGGGAAAACTTGATAGCCTCGGAAACGGTTTTGACCAATTTCATGGGGTCCTCAATCGTTGATAGCTGGTTGACAAGGACTTGCTGTTCTTTTGCCGATAATGTTTCATAGTACTTGAACAAATGACCCTGATCGGCTTTTTTGAAAACCTCTATAATTTTTTGCTGATAATGTGATTCAACCGTCATTGCAAATCAAAAGAGAATATTTATAGGCTAGTATTAAAGAAAACTCACCATGTATCTCTATCAAAAAAGAAGAAAAAAAGGGAGCAAAATACCAAAGTAATCAGTCTGTACTTGAAGAGTCTAGCCTATATTTGGCAATTACATACATATATATATATAGATGATTTTTTTAATATATACATTTTTTCCGTATCGAGAACAAAGGTATATTTACAAACTTCTATAAATAGAGCATTTAACAGAAATTTCATTTCACCAGTAGTCAAGGTAATATGTAAGAGTATGAATTATCTATTACGCTTGGCCAGATACGCAGGGGTGTAAAGATTATTTTATGGTACCTTCTCTTTCACTATCTTCCACCATCTTTCATCCCTCATCGCCGCCGCCCCTGTTAGAAATTATTATACTCATCGAGTAACTACTACAGTTCCATTGACGATACATTCTGAAAAAAAAATTATGTAACTTAAAAAGCTTCTCTTTTTTTTTTTGAGGAGCAGTGAAACACATACATACATACATACAATACCAGTCATATTGCCTAAAAAAATATAAATCTATAGATAAAGAGTATTTGCATTCAAAATATAGTTTCCATAAAGGTGAAAGTATTTTGGATTCAAAATATAGTTTCCAAAGGTGACGGAGAGTATATAGTTTCCAAAGGTGACGGAGAGTATATAGTTTCCAAAGGTGACGGAGAGTATATAGTTTCCAAAGGTGACGGAGAGTATATAGTTTCCAAAGGTGACGGAGAGTATATAGTTTCCAAAGGTGACGGAGAGTATATAGTTTCCAAAGGTGAGACGGAGAGTATATAGTTTCCATAAAGGTGAGATTTTGCAATTCTTGCAAAAAATTCCTTAAATTGGTTTTTAAATTGGGTTACATGGAAGAGAGGGGTCCAAAAAGTAGTTCACAACCGTTGTATTTACAAAAAAACTTCGTAAATACAAAGCTTGTTAAACATTGTCCATGTTTCTCTATTTTCTGTGCTCCCTTAGCTTGCTTGGTTGGAGGTGCAAAGAAACGCCCTGTTATTGCAAAAAAGGGGTGTGAAAGGCGGGGTGGCAAAAAAATAGGTATGTATCATTGAGTGTGTATCCCTTGAGTATATACCCTCGATTGTATATCCCTTGAGTATGTTTCCTCGTATATGTATCCCTCACACGGATTTGTGTTTTTATCCGTTTCGCCAAAATGGTTATGTGGTAGCGCATGATTTCGGTTACAACTTGGTAGCCATGTAAATTGATATACAACCTGGTAGCATACTACTTGGTAGCCATATAAATTAACATACAGTTTGAGTAAAGGATTTTAATATAGTGACAATTTCAGAGCATACAATTAATTTCATTTAAAGAAAAGAACACTATTGACACTATTGACACTATAGACACTATCGAGCAAAGCGAGATAGTGTCGATAATGGGCAACTACTGACACACGGCTTTGCTACTTCACTACTCGCTTCGCTCGATAGTGTCTATACCCTCTAAAGTAAAGCAAGTACACCAACCAATCCAGTCAAGAAAGAGCCCGGAACAATCAACTTGTTTACTCCGTTTTCTCTGTTACCAGTAGATGTAGTTGTCGAGCCGGAACCATCAGTTGAGTCGCTACTAGAAGTACTTGTAGATTGTGAACTCAACATTGATTCCTCAACACCAGCAGCGCAGATATAATTGTGACCTTCAATGTCTCCTGCATCGTGTAATGCATTGAATTCTGAACAATCGAAATCTTCAGAAGAAGAATTCAATTCAAAATCACCATTAACTCTTTGCAAGCTCGAAACGGTAAAATTGGTGATTGGACCAGCAATGCTCACGGCACCTCTAATTCTTTGCAAACTATTAAACGAGTCATCCAAGTTTTCCAATTGAGTATTGTTGAACATTCTTAATTCTCCGCTAATTTCCCTCAACGAGTTCAAGCTTAAATCGGTTAAATCGTCATTGGCAAAAATTTGCAAAGAAGAGCCAACAGTTTCCAACTTTGAAACATTCAATTTATCAAAAGTATTATAACTAAACGATAATGATCCGTTAACTGCTGTCAAGTTGGAGGCGTAAAACTCACCGACATCTTGAATTGTTAAATTGGAGGCCCATTTCAAAGCATTCAAATAGACAATAGCATTATCATTGTTGAAACTCAATACTAAAGAATCGGTAACGGTTTGCAAATTGACAAACTCGATATGAGTGATATTCTTGTTATTGTTGATATTCATATGGTCAATAGTATCAAATGCAGCTAATCCGTTCAAATTGGACAACGCGGTATCTGACAAAACAACTTTTCCCGCCTTTGAAACATCCTGGTTCAAATTCAAAATGGCAAAGGATGGCAAGGAAATAAGTTCCAAATCATCGGCAATGCTCAATGAATTCAAATCGATCGAATTCAATTGAGTAACATTGTTCAAAACCAAGGAACCTGTAATATTCTGTAATTGGTTCAAGTTCAATGAAATAATTGAACCTGAGTTTGTTATCAAGACTTTTCCTTTAATGACTGTAACTCCCGACAAGTCAATCGAATTAAGGGAATTACCGGTGATTGTAATATCACCATCCAAAGTAGGACAAGCATTTAACGATTGTATACCGGTTGGGTCTATAATCAGCGTTTTTGAAAAAGAACACGAGTCGGTATCATTATCCGCAGCCTGAACTAACACCGTCGTCGTTGATACTATTAGCGCAATGAGTGACTTGAAATGCATCTTTATTAGAGGGAAGGGCTGAACAACGCTAAAAAAAAAAAAAAAAAAAGAAAAGAAAAAGGAAAAAGGAAAAAGGAAAAATTCAACGTAACTTCTTGGAAAAAAAAACCCGCCCTTGAGTGATAATTATATACAATGAGGAATAATTAGAAAATCTAATTAAATGATACTTGAATAGGGAGAGAAAAGCCCCATGTTGTAATCAAAAAATATCTTTCTCAAAAATAAAAGAAAGAAAAGTGTATTTGATTATTTGATTTAATTTTTTCTTAGCTGCAAAAAAGAATTTTTTGGTCTGTCCCAATTTGGCAATGTAGGGTGAGACAAATAATACTGTTACTAATGCAGCATTAATAGTGCAACAATATAATATATAAAGATAAAAATAAAACAATAAGGTAAAGCATAATAAAAGTATAAAGAATGTAAATATGAATATAAGAATGTAAATAAAAATATAGAATGTAAATAAAAAACCCAACTAATTGAATGCTAACTAATTTAATGCCAACTAAATGCTGCGGTGTGATGCACCGCAGCATTTTCATCAAGAGACATATTTTGTACAAACTCTTGTGCAATCCTCAACATGTACTAAAAATATTATAGGATACGAGGCAAAAAAAAAAAAAAAAAAAAATTGTGATTGAGAAAAGAATCAGTCGATATGGAAGAGCAAGTTAGATTGAAACAAATATTCTCTTTTCGGTTTGCTTTTTATCCCATGTGGGACAAATCATAGGTTTTGAAGATGAATTGTTTCGCAATTGACAGTAGATACAAGTAATTCAGTAATTGTAAACGGGCTATGTTATTTATCCTCTCAATTAAGCTTTCAAATACGACACTATCGAGCAGAGCGATACGACACTATCGAGCAGAGCGAGATGGTGGAGCATTACTGGCTGCAACAAATGGGCGCGCGGCTCACTTTTTCGGAACAATCAACAAGGTTTACACTTTTAGTTACAAGAATCAAAAAAGAGAATTTAAAAAAGGTGAAAAATTTCGCGTTGTTTTCGATTTTTTGACGTGTTTAACTTGCATCTTGGTGCATAGAAAAATATATAATCTATGTTTTTAGCAGTGCTCAAAGGGAGGTCAACCTAATGGGAGGTCGGGGAGGTCAAGATTGCTCAAAAAGAGTCTCTGCTTAAATGCTGAAAAGAAAACCACTATAGCCATGCACTTGTGCTATCTTGTAAAAACAGCTCTATTTTCTATAGAAAAGAGTGCGACATTGCAAAAGTGAAGCAAGTCCATAGGAAGATACTTTTTACTTTTCCTTCCTGAAATACCTCTTTCTAAAGGACAATCTCTTCCTAAAGGACAATCTCTTCCTAAAGGACAATCTCTTCCTAAAGGACAATCTCTTCCTAAAGGACAATCTCTTCCTAAAGGACAATCTCTTCCTAAAGGACAATCTCTTCCTAAAGGACAATCTCTTATTAAAGTCTTCCTATAGGATGATCTCTTCCTAAAGGATTTTCTTCCTAAAGGATTTTCTTCCTAAAGGATTTTCTTCTCCTCCAAAGTCTATCCTTTCCTTCTCTTTGTTCCTTCTCTTTGTTCCTTCTCTTTGTTCCTTCCACTATCTCGCTTCGCTCGATAGTGATAGTGTCATATTCTTGTTCCTTCTTCACTTGCTTTCTTTAAGGAAACTTGTCTCTTGATGCTTCTTTCCCAAATTGGACAAATTATCAACACTGAAAATATTGAGCGGAAAAACAAATACAAGAGGATGAAAACAAAGAAAGTTTAATTTGATGCAAAAACCACAATTGTTTCTTCATAGGAATTACTAGTGGAATAGCTAAAAGAGATCAACTCTCCACCTCTCCTCCCTATTCCTTCAGGTATTAAGACCTCCCGTGCTGAATTTGGTTGAGACTTGAGGAAGTATAGAAGGAAAGCAAGAGTGGGTTTTGCAATCAAACGCGAGTTTTTTTTTTCATACAATCATTTTTCAGATTTGAAAATAAAGCTGGATAATAAGCTGTTTGGAAATGCTACAAGTGGAAGCGAAAAGCTTGATTCAGGATATATCACCATCTTCCCCTAGTAAAACAGAGCTATTCAAGAATGAAAACGGTATGTGGAACAAAAGCAGTTTGGAATTTTTTTTGCCGTTTTATGTTGTATTGATGTTTTTACTAACAGCGCCTTGGGATTTTTTTAGAATCGGTGGATCTTTTGTTACAGGAAATGGAAATTGATGTTGACACAATGAAGGTAAATGATGCTGATGCTGATGCTGATGCTGATGGTAATTGTCCCAGCTTGGCAGCATCGGCCAATAACACGCCAACTAAACCATTAAAGTTCCCCACAACAAATACAAGGAACTTACCAGACTCAACAAGGAAGTCACCAGACTCAACAAGGAAGTCACCAGAGTCAACAAGTAACTCACCAGAGCCAACAAGGAACTCACCAGATTTGGGTAAAAGGAACTCGGCAGACCCAAATTCAAGCTCTGATACTTACACTAGCGAACACGACCCTGATCAAATAGCCATTACTGACATACAAAAGACAGCTCTAGACTTGAAATCTTCCTTGGACCGGAATTTTGATATCGACAACTCAATTGAGTTGCAACAAACCATTGCCATCACTGACTCAATTGCAGATCACGTAGATGAATTTTCATTCCAAACACCAATGAATTCGACAGTAGATTTAACTTCAAAACCAGAATATTGCAACACATCCCCAAGCAAATCGATCTTACGAAAAACACCAAATTCGTCGCCAAAAAAAGTTGCATTTACATCAAAAAACCCCGAAGTTCACCAATATCCAGAGCTTTCCAGTAATGTCGAAGAAGAGGTAAAACAAGACCTCGCAGTACAAGTTCCAGTACACCACCAATGGACACAACCAAATATACATTCAGAAAACGAGAATGTCAGCTCGCCACCTCCTCTCCCTCCACCACACACTAGCAAACCTACATTTTCACAGCTTTTGAAAAGCAACAATATTATAGAGGATGAGATGGAGGCTGACAACAACAACAATAATAATAATAATAATAACGATGGTTCAGAAAGTTTGACTCAGCTCAAGTTGAAACATGATAGTTTTAGTAACTTGTCATTAAATGAGAAAGTGAACTTGTATTTGAAACCTGATATCTCCGAACTAGATACTCGGCTTGAGCAATTAACCGAGGCAAGAAAACATAAAACGGCAGATAATGTCCATCTGTTGTCATTTGGTCTACAAACTTCAGTTCCTGCTATTGAAAACCCTTTGATATCTTTGCTGAAGACGCCTGATGTTCAATTAAGGTCCTCCGGATCTTCTTCTTCTTCATTACAGTCACTCAGAGAACACAACCGAGGCCTAAGCTCGATACCGGGTTCGCCTACCAAAGCAAATAAAGGGTTGGTTTTGAAAGATGGCATTCGTGGTTTGCTGGATTCGGCTCTTGAATCGTTACTACCTAGAGATGAGTCTGTGGAAGGATTGGTTATGCTGCCACCAAAGAAAAAGGAGGGTGAAGAGCAGATGGACTCTTTTGAAAGGTCATATAAATATACAGAACAGTCAATTTTGAATTTGTTGAACAGCACATCTCAACAATTTCTGCCTAAGAAAGTGGAACTGACAACAGCAAAGGGAGCTACACCGGAAGTTAATGTTGCAATTAAAAAGAAGAAATTGGATGATGAACAAACTGTTGATGCTACTACAAAGTTGAAACAAGAGGATGAAGAAGAAGAAGAAGAGGATGAAGAAGAAGAGTTTCATTTCAACAAGCAGAGCTCCATTTATCAGCCAGAGGAATCCGACGAATCAAAGCAAGATGAATCTAAAATGTCAATTCGTTTCCATATAGACAGTGATTGGAAGCTTGAAGACAGCAATGATGGTGACAAAGAAGACAACGATGAAGCCAGTCGAGTATACGATATTTCCAACTTGATCAAAGATGAAACCATCCCTCAAGATGATAATGATGGCGAAGCTATGGAGGACAACAGTGACGAAACTAGTCGTCGAGACTACGATGCCTCCTCTTCCAGCTTGATCAAAGATGAAAGTATCTCCCAAGGTGATGACGGAGACTCACTGAAAAATCAGCCAATTGCAAGAACACCGTTAACGCTTACTAACGTGTCACTTGCACCTCCACGGCCTGTGTCGCCAACAAAAAAGGAGATGAAGAGCTCGAAAGGCGAACAAGAAGATGTATTGGCCAACTCCTCTAATATAGCACCTGATGAAATAACCTTGCCCCAGATTGAGACCAGCAACTATTCATCTTTTGATGAAGTAACGAGAACTATGAACACGCTGTCGAGTTTTGAACAATCGTTGTCTGCGGAAAACGATGCAGAACGAAACAAGTTGGACAATTTTATTTCAATCTGGCACTATCAAGAGAAACAAAAGAAGAAACAGGCCCACAAAGTACCCACTGCAAAAGTTATTTCTCCTTACGATGATGACTTTTTGGAGAGGAAAAAGAGTAGCACGTCAACTAACAGAGTGAGAATACCGAGTTCAATGAATGGAAAAAAGTTGAAGGAGGTGAATGTTGTGTCAAGAAGAATCGTTAGTCCAGACTTTGACGAGTTGTATATGTCTGGATTTTTACCAGATTTATCAAAAGATTCCGGATTCAATGATTTACTGTTTTCTAATTATTCAAATATAATAGGCAGTAGGGCTACGACTGCTGGTGCTGGTGCTGGTGCTGGTGCTCATGCTGGTGCTCATGCTGCTCCCCTAAGTACAAAGAACGTGTTGTCAAGTATAGACAATTATCCAGAAGTGGTTGAGCCTCCAGAGCCAAGATCACATAGTGAAATTAGACATTCCACTATTACATGGAGATCTAATCAAAAGACACTAGATACTCAACATCCTACTAAGCCAGTATTCCCCAAAAAATCAAAGTTCAGGGTGCCAACATTTGAAATTAAAAGATCGTCATCCGTTCTTTCTCCGGGTAATATGTACAATGACATTTTCGACGATGTGTTAAAAAAGCCACCAACAATTCGTTCGGAAGGGATGAAGACATTACCTAGTATGGACAAAGACGACGTGAAACGTATACTTAGTACAAAGAAGGGAATGTCTCAAGATGAGTATATAAATGCCAAATTTGTCGAAAAGAAACCAAAGAAGAATTCAATAGTAACGGAACAAAACGATCTTTACGATGAAATACAACAAGCAGCTTCCATCCACAATACAGATTTGGACTCTCCGAAATCTCGTCAACCTTCAGGACTGGACGTCTTGCCTTATCTTGCAGAGGAATTGAGAAAGTCGCCAATGGCCTTTGTGTCAGATAATGTGCCCGGGTATCTATCATTGCAAAGCCCTTCCATTGCAAATTCAAATACATTACCAGAACCAGAATTCGAGGTAGATGTTTCTCCTAATACACCTAAGCTGCTGTCGGATGCGATTGATGCTTTGGACAATATAACAAACATTAAAGTGGATACCACTCTTCATCAAAAAGAAAACCCACCTTCTACTCCAAAAATATCTCCTCAAACTAATTTAAAACGAGTTTCACCAAACAAGAAGAGTCCAATAAAGATTGGGTCACCCATGAGGTTGATCAAACAGGATGGTGCTATTACCGGTATTGAAACTCCTGTAAAAGAACCCCGGACGAGTGTGGATAACATGCAACAGCACAGATCACAACAAACATTTAAAGGAAACGAGATTTTGCACCCAAAAATCAGGGAAAATCCAACTAATGAGAAAATCAAAGAAAAGCAAGCTATTGCAAGCACTGTTTCGGTACCCTCTCAGTTTTCTGAAGAGGAGACACAACAACAACAACAGCAACAACAGCAGCAGCAGCAGCAGCAGCAGCAGCAGCAGCATACCAAATCAGACCCCAAAGCCATTGATGAAAAAGTTCATCATCATAATGGTGTGCAAGAGCGTGGAAAATTGTTTTTCAAGGTTATAGGGTTCAAAAATATAAACTTGCCGGATTTGAAATTGCACAATGGTAAATTTTCCATAACTTTGGATAATGGTGTACACTGTGTTAAAACACCTGAGTATGATTTGGATAGAAATCAAGTTGCAGTGGGTAAAGAATTTGAATTGACTGTGAGCGATACATTGCAGTTCATCTTAACCACAAAGGCTGTCTATACCAAACCGAAAGGAACATTGGTTGAAGTACGTGAGAGAAAGCTTGTAAAATCTAAAAATAGATTTTCCAGATTTTTTGGCTCGAAAGATCTCATTACAACGACAAGGTATGTTCCAAGTGAAATCCAGGATAGTTGGGCTGATAAACTTGCTACTGACGGGTCTTTTGCTCGGTGCTATATTGACTTGGAACAGTTTGAGACCCAAATAACTGGTCAGGTTATGAAGTTTGATTTAAATTGTTTTAATGAATGGGCAACAACCACAACCAGGAACCAGAACCATGTAGCTGGCAGAATCAAGCCATATAAGATTGCACAGGTGGAAGTAGAGATGTTGTTTATACCACGCACCGATTCACACGAAACACTACCAATGAGTATCAAGTCAGCTTATCAGGTTTTGGAGGAATTCAACAAAGAGGCGCACGACCTGTATGAGGGGTATTTACATCAAGAGGGTGGCGATTGTGAGATTTGGAAAAAGAGATGGTTCAAATTATATGGAACTTCTCTAATTGCGCATCTGGAGTTTAGTCACAAGACTAGAGCCAAGATAAATTTGAGCAAAATAGTAGATGTGGTGTACATTGGAAAACAAAGCGCAGGTAAATCAGAGCAAAGAAAATTTAGTGACGTTCTTCTTGTTGAACACTCCTTCAAAATCAAGTTTGCCAATGGTGAAATTATCGAGTTTGGGGCTCCTAACAAACAAGAAATGAAAAAATGGGTAGAGATATTAGAGACAATTGTCTACAGAAACAATCTCAGACGCCAAGCATGGGTCAAATTGATGCTTGAGCAAAATAGAAGAATGTAGTAGTAGTTTAGTAATAATAATGAATATAGAATGCTTTTTGTAATTTATTTGATTCCTAATTATTATTATTTTTTTTTTTTTTTCATTTTTGAAAGTTGAAGTTTGGCATGGGAGGCATATTGGCCATATTTAACGGCGGCATTCCTGGTGGCATCTGCATTCCTGGTGGCATTGGCATTCCCGGAGGCATCATCATTGGAGACATCCCTGGAGGCATTCCGGGCGGTGGGAACATGCCCATTGGCGGCGGCACCACCTGTGATCCTGGCGCTGAAGATCCATTAACCTGAGGAGGAGGAGCAATAGCACCCGGTCCCTTCATTATATCTGTCATAACTTTCTGGGGATTGAATTCGCCCCTTAACTTGTCTTGTTTGTGGCAATAAGCAGTCCAAGTAAACTCGTCAAATCCAAAGTTGAAGTAGTCCGATATATCGGCACCTGGAGCTCTCCAAGGTTTTACTTTAAATATTTCCAAATCGAGTTGGGTTAGAGGTTTCCCTTCGTATTCTGGGACGGTATTTATGTCGATACTAGACGTCTTGGTTGTGATTTGTGTTGATTGAGATTGAGATTTGTTCTGGGCTGTACCAGTTTCAGAAACAGGTTCGGCAGAGGCCGATGCCTCATCCTTAGTTGCGTCTCCTATAATAATATTAAAGTCATCATCATCATCATCGTCATCATCATCGTCATCCTCTTCATCGTCGTCATCGTCGTCATCGTCATCCACTTCATCATCATCCTTTTCTTCTTTATCATCATCCTCTTCTTCTTCAACATCCTTCTTATTAGCATCTTCTCCTCCTTCTCCCCCCTCACCATGGTCTTTCTTCACCCCTAGGGTCTCCGCTACCTTTTGCTTCTTACTCACTGGCTGTTCCTCCTCATCTGAACCATAAAGATAAGCATCATCATCGTCCTCTGAATTGACCATCTTGGATAAACCAGTTGACCAAAGTGTGGAATTTGAAAAATTACAAAAATTTGTGACATTAAAAAAACGACACTGTCAATTTCTTTTTTTTTTTTTTTTTTTTTTCATTGAAAAATTTTTCAAAAAACTTGATTTCTACTCCTAGAAGGCAATGGCAAGGTTGATAGGTAGTTATATCTAGGTTAGTATTCCTTTTTAGAGCAGATAATGTCGTTTATAAACATATGTCGTGATAACACCGACCCTTTCTACCGTTACAAAATGCCTCCTATTCAGTCTAAGACTGAAGGTAGGGGTAACGGTATCAAAACAGCTATTGTTAATTTGGCGGAAGTTGCTCGTGCTTTGAACCGTCCGTCTCCATATTTGGTGAAATTTTTTGGTTACGAGTTGGGTGCACAAACGCAGGTTGACAGATTCCTTGTTAACGGTGTCCATGACACATCCGAGTTGCAAGATTCGCTAGATGGGTTCATTAACAAATTTGTTTTATGTGGCTCGTGTAAGAACCCCGAGACTGAGATTGTTCTCAAGGGTAAAGACACACTAGAAAGAGATTGTAAAGCATGCGGTAAGGTTACCATTATTGACCCCAAACACAAGTTATATTCATATATCGTGAAAAATCCACCAGACAACAAAAAGGGCAAGAAAACTGGTACTGCTACTGCCAATGTTGTTGGTGGTGGTAAATCGATTTCGGATATTGTAGCAGGTCATGAAGGTGACGTTTCCGGCACCAATCTCGATGATGATGACGAGGATGATGATTTGTTGGCAAAGAAAATCAATGCCGAAGCTGCACAGTTGCAAGAGTTGAAGGTTAAGGATGACGAATGGGCAGTTGATATGTCACAGGAAGCCATTGCAGCTAGAGCAAGAGAGTTGGAAAGCGGATTGAGCAAACCTGCTCCTACCAAGTTTGATGAATTGGGTGAGTGGTTGATAGCTGAATCTGATGGGTCAGTTGAAAATTTGCCATCAGATGTTGAAATTTACAAAAAAATTGTGGAATTGGACATTGTTGATGCCCCAGAAACCTTGCAAGTTTTGGCGCAAACTCTATTCGACAAGGACATAGTAAACCAAATAGAGCCCCACGTTGGTTTATTGGCTAAGTTGATCAATGGCAGAGCTGAATTTGAACAATCGTTGCTTGGTGGATTGGAGAGATTCATTGGTGTAACAAAACCGGAATTAATACCTCAAACTCCAAAGATTTTGCATGGATTCTACGAGAGAGATTTGCTTGGTGAAGAAGTGATTATTCCTTGGGGTCAAAAGATTTCAAAGAAATATGTGCCAAAGGATGTGTCCAAAAAGGTTAGAAAAGCTGCTAGACCCTTTGTACATTGGTTGCAAGAAGCAGAAGAGGAGGATAGTGATGAAGAGGAGTAAGGGGTCTCTTGTTGTTTTTTTTTTTTTTTTTGTTTTTTTCATTAAGTATTATTAATTAAATGTTTTATTTTGATTTAAATGTACAGATTTCTCTGCATTGTGGGAGTACCTGGGTTTGAATTGTATCCCAACGCAGCGCTGCTCATTGATAATTGCTCCAACTGCTGCATGACAGCCAAATCCTGGGGCAGCATTTGCTGTGGTGGGAGATACTGCTGTTCCTGAGACGGATGTTGATAGTATGGCATCATATACATCGAAGGAGGGGGGTTCATAAATTGTTGGAAATTAGTAGTAGTTGGTTGTAAAGGAACGTAAGGGGATTCATACTGTTTTGGGTACTCATACCTATTTCTTCTTCTTCCATTCCTCTTTGTACTATTTCTGGTTAATCTATTACTGCTTAAACCAACCTCATCCATCAATTTTTTGTAGTTGTGGTAGTTGACTATGCTGATTTCCATGAGCACCCTTTTAACAGTTGGAAGGTATGGCGAAGCCAAGTCAGCTAACATTGAATTGCTCAATATTTTGTAAAGAAACAGGGGGCCAGCACTCAAATTAGCATTTTCATTTTCTCGTAAAATTGCTTCAAGATTTTCATTTTGGAATATTGTGTCAATAATGATTTGTCTCGATTTATCGTCGGTACGGTTGTTTAACAACTTCAAAATTGTGAGATTTGCCAATTTGTGAGTACAGAGTTTCTTCAAATGTGGCAAGAGCTTTTTCGTTAATAACTCCACTTTGTACTCGCAATCACTAAAGGTATCTATATACCAAGTGATTAACAAACTCCCATTGGCATTCACTACTAGCTCTTCCGAGTGTTCCACAATCAATGCAGCGACTAATAGAACCTGCTCGTTGGTAAGGACAGGGTTGGCTTCAAGGCTGCTCTCCAATATTGTACGTATACACCTAGCGGCGTACCTACCGAAACTGATTTCTAAAAAGTTATCGTATAATGCCTCAAAAACAAAATCATTATACGGAGAACCAAACTTGACGCAACCCTGAATTACATAATTTCCAAATTGGTCATTGAATAGCTTTACTGCGTATGGCTTTAAACTGGCCCCAATGAGATACATCTGTTGATACTCAGAACGTGCCAAAGAAATCATCTTTTGCACTGCGTAGGTACCATTCTTGTGGCATCCTAGTTGAGTCAAGTAAGGAGCCACTTCTTTAACCATCATTAATTTCACCAACTTGTCATCAAGCTGGGAAAACAATTTTTGCACAATTGTGTTACCCAAGTAGTCATAGCAGATTTCTGGCAATTCGTCAAGCATAGCCAATGCGAGTTCATCCAATTTAAAAGGCAATGAAGGTGAAGATGATGAAGAAGAAGAAGAAGGCGATGATAATAAAAGGCTAGAAGATTCTGCTGATTCCTGGCTTTCGAGGATCTTTCTCAATTCTCTCAAAGTCGGGGCATCAAATTGTCTATTTGGGATGGGCTCGGGCAAAGGACCGAAATCATCTTGATATTTTGAGTGTGGAAATGTATTAGATTTATTAATGATTGATTTGATCTTGCCAAGATTGCATCTAGGGGCTAGTTTCGTAATAATCTCTAAAAGCTGATCTGTATTATTACCGGAATTGACATTGTTCTGATGAGTAGACGACATTTGGTTCTCGTCTTCAAAAACAGGAGCAAATTGTCGTGTATTCAGTTGTTGTTGTTGTTGTTGTTGTTGTTGTTGTTGTTGGTGTGATGGTGGTGGTGGTGGTGGTGGTATACTTGCGGTGCATGTTTGTGATCTGATTCTTCTATGGTTGTTTACATAATTGTCCAAAAGCGAATTCATATCACTTGTTTTATTCGACATGGAAACAAAGGGAGAGCCTCTTTCCGTAGCAAACGAGTTTGGCGCAGCTGCATTTATAGTATAGGACCTGTTTCTTAGCTGCAAAAGCGGGATTGAATGTGATGGTGTAGTTGAATCCAAAGGTGGACTTAAAAAATTGCCAGAGTCCGAATTTAAGCTCGTTGCGTTTGATGAAGATTGATTGTCATCGTTCCAAATTGAGTTGGTTGAAAAGAGCGATCCTGATCTTACTCTGTTTGCCGGCGGAGTTCTCAAATGTATATCCACGAGGTTTTGGTGGTTCGGCGATTTGGATATTCCCAAATCCTTGGAAACATTTAGTAGCTCATTGTTTGGTTCATTTATAGTTATTGGATTGATCATGTACCCAGACGTTACTTGATTTTTAAAGAATGATGTTGGTAAAGTTTCTGACCTGTTTCTAAACTGCAGTTGTGGTGATCCCTGTGTTCCGTAGCTATTCATACCTTTATCAATTATTGCTTCCCAACACCAATTTATTCCAATAAGGACTGTTGAAAAAAAAAAAATAGGGGGAGAAACCTGTCAAAAAAAGTTCGTGTCAAAAATAATGTGCGTCGCCCCGTCGTCCCCCTTTGTGTCAGGAGAATATTGAGGATACAATAAGGAGAGAGAGTTGAGCTCTTGGCTATTAGTGCTATTCTTGAGCTAGTATTCTTGAAAACTAAAGGGCTTATTCGATTTGTAAGACCTTTTTCTTTGGCAAAGAGCTAAAAGGGGGACTAAATCAAGGGAAAAAAAGATGGGTTATTTAGTTGCGCTTCATAGCAAGCTCACAGGGGTCGATAAGTATAAAGTAAATGGACCTAAAATTTTTGGGGGTCTAAATGCTCCTCTATCGAGCAGAGCGAGATAGTGTTTTAGCTAAAGTTAGCACTTGATCTAAAATGTAGAAAAGAGATGGAGGGGTAGGAAATGAAAAATCCATTGTGTATGTGAGCCAAGGTTTTGTAATTGTTGGTAGAACTCCTCTTTGTCACGTATACTTTTGTTGTATATGTTACATTGCTATATTTTTATACTTTTTTTTGCACCCAATTGACGAAAAGATTCACTATCGACACTATCGACACTATCGAGCGAAGCGAGATAGTGGAGCAGCATAGACTATCACCGACACTATATCGCTCTCCTCGATAGTGGAGCAACATTAATAGCCTGTTACAACCCGGGTTTGATAAGAGCTAGTATACTCCACTATCTCGCTTCGCTCGATAGTGTCTTTGGGTGTATTGTATTTATTTAATGATGTTGATAAGGGAGAGTATATTGGGTATAAAGTAGAGGCTACTGGAGGAGACAAATATGAAGTTGTACGACAGAGTAGATGAATATAAGTTGAATGTAAGGTGATATACATATATATTTTTTTTTCGCCTAGAACAATCTCTCTTTATAGAGAAAAGGATGATAGTTACACAGGAGGATTTGCAAGAGTGGATTGAGAGTAAGGGGTATAATGAGGTTGTTGAGTTTATATGTGAGCTTCAGGAGTCAGTAGTTGGCAAGGACAACAGTGCTGGGAGAGAAACGGCGACAACAAGGGTGTTGGAGGAGATGCTCGATAGGGTGAATGAGATTATTGATAGGCACCGAGCTGAGTCTACCGGGAACTCTCGATTTGGCAAGATCGAGTTTCGGGACTTCTACAAGGAGTTGGAGGAAAAGAGCCAAGAGTTGGTAGAGGATGTGAGGGGAAAGAAAGGGGAAGAAGATGAAGAGGAGGGGAGGAAGAGTGAGACTAGAGAATTAGCAGTGTATCTCCAACATTCATTTGGCGATGCTAATAGGATCGACTATGGGTCAGGACATGAACTAAACTTTATATGTTTTCTACTATGTCTAAAAAAGATAGGTGTGATAGAGCGTCATGAGTATACTGGGATAGTTCTTCTTGTATTCACAAAGTACATTTCAGTGATGAGGCGGTTGCAAAAGGAGTACTGGCTTGAGCCTGCAGGGTCACATGGAGTATGGGGACTTGATGATTATCATTTTCTTCCTTTTCTCTTTGGAGCTGCGCAGTTGACGGGACACGAGCATATGCGTCCGAAATCGATCCACAATGCCGAGTTGGTTGAGATGTACCGAGACAAGTATATGTATTTTGAGTGTATTGATTTCATCAATAGGGTGACGAAGATGAGTTTGAGGTGGCATTCACCGATGTTGGATGATATATCAGGGGCCAAGAGTTGGCAGAAGATAAAGGAGGGGATGGTGAAGATGTATAGGAAAGAGGTGTTGGAGAAGCTTCCAATCATGCAGCACTTTATCTTTGGCCAATTGATAAAAGAGGAGAGGAAGAACAGAGATAATAAGGATGAGGATAAGAAGGATGAGGATAAGAAGGATGAGGATAAGAAGGTTGATCAGGATAGCAAACAGAGTGTAGCTCATCTTCCTCATCTTCCTTCTCATGTACATACATGGGGAGACTGTTGTGGAATCCGAATTCCCAGCGTACTAGCACAGAGTAACACGGAAAGCACAGCAAAGTAAGCACAACACAGCATGGCAATAGATAAGCAATCTGTTACTTTTCTGTTCCAGACCTGCTCTTCTATTCTACTACTGCTTTTTTCCTCTTCAGTTCCAATATAGTTGTTGGTATAGTATTTCTCTGTAATAAATTATATTTGATATCCTTGGTATATTGAGTAATTTCGAGTTTTTGAATCAGCGAACGGTGTTTGAGCGGTGATTGGTGATTGGTGATTGGTGATTGGTGATTGGTGATTGGTGATTGTGGGTTGGTGGTCTCGGTGTTATTACCCGATTCGGATATCCGCTATGAAAGCTACAAACGATGATTGATTTTTGTGATGATTTTTTTTAGTGAGAAAACGATGTTCAAGTGCGGAAATGACAACATCTTATTGGTTAATAAGAAAACAAGTCAGCTTTCAATGTAGAGTAGAAATGAATAGAGAGGTTCTGAGTAGTATATTGTGGTACAAAGATATCTCCAAATGAAGCATTCTATACAACTACTACACTTTTTATTCATTATGTTGTGATTTGTTTTGGTGGCAT